AAAAGGCACTTTTGATTCCATAAATTAAGCACTGACCAATTGATTTGTGATTCATTTTTGGGATCTTATTCATTTCATAAAACACTTGAAAGTTTTCATTAGAGGAACAAAATAAATCGAAACACAAATCAAACTACACCGAGATTTCATTAGAAAATTAGGTGGGATTATTTTATCTGTAGATTTTCGTCTGAATTTTTCTTTCTGATCTAAAAAAATTTTGCATCCACTTATTTTAAATAACAATAATCACTAACAAGCATTTATTTGGCATCTACTGTTCTGTGAATCAAGAAACTACAGAGGTGTTGATATCCTTTCAAGAGAGTGGAACAGGTAAGATGATGGCTGGGGAAAATAAACTTTAGTGTGCTGAGCATCCACTAAACATAAACTAGACAAGAAATTCCTCATCATTAGAAAGAATGAATGAGATTTAAGTGTCCATATCACTTTTACTAAGCACGTAGCCTTCCACACTAGGTCTTCTTCGTATGTTTTTCAGCGGTTAGGCAAACATGAGGGCACAGAAGATGGTCTTTCCTGGAAAGTCTCTCTTTAGTAAAAAGAAATGGAGAAAAGATCCCTTTGTCTTTAGCTAAAAGACTTATAACTTAAAATTCCAGTATTCGTCAAGTAAACTGGGTAATTTTAAAGTCCCAATAAACCTTTAAGCAAAACACAGTCTGAGCAATGTACCAGTAAAGTTTAAAACATTTTTCCCTTGGACACGTTTTACATTCAATTTGCCCATATTTGAATTTAAATACAAAGCCAAGACTGCCAAACAGTAAGGCATATCTAGTCATGCTGATATTAAATGATTGAATACTTTCCTACTTCTCTCCACTTATCTTTTCCTGTTCTCTTCTAGTAGCTTAAGATTGGGCTCCCAACATATAAAAAAAAATATGTATTATGGGAAATTCAAAAAGTTAATAGCTATCGGAGGGGAAGGATGCCAAAATACTGCATTATAATGCATCTTCATTTTGATATGTCCATGACCTTGAGTCTTCCAACACCACTTCCAGATAGCCACAATATCCTACTCACCTAAGGACATATGGTGTATTCATTGTATAAAATACTGCATAACTGTATCAATACATTTAAGCAAACTTAATTCACCTCACAAATGTGGTTACTTGTTAAGACAAAAAGCTTTCCAAGTCCCAACATCATGCGTCTGGAACCGCCAATCCACCTACACATACTCAGTACTTCTATGGCTCAAATCATGACCCCTAAATTCTGCAGAAACAGCTGACATAATATTCATTTGGCTACAACTAAGTGCAAGTTAAGGAATTCAACAAAATGTTAATGCACACAAAGATTCAATTCAGAAGAACCGTTTTGTTCTAGTAGTTTTATTAATAGAATTCCAAATTATGTCACTCATTTTTCAGATTTGAACTAGGTATGTTCAAGTATGTTCTTTGGGATACACTTATAGAAAAATGGCTTTAAAATAACTGTTTTAGAAACAAACATTTCTTTAGTATAGAAAACAATACTGTTGTATATGTGAAGACTTAAAAAAACAAACATTCAGTATGATATATTTTATAGACATACTTTGATAACTATGCCTAACGATCACAAATGTGTCAAATTGCTTTTAGTAGGTAAAAAATATTAGCTAGCCACAGAAAGAACATTTTGTACTTTCCTTCAAAAGAAATAGAATACGTATTTGAATTTCCATAAATATATGCATACATTCACTGGCAGTAATGTATGTTGTAGTACCTTTGAAATAAACGGACCATTATTCAAAAGTTGCCTTTACAAGTGAAATTAATGCAGCCATTGTTTGAAAATGTGTATATACAAATCTTAAGGTTAAAATACGTTACATTATCAGGACTATTTGCATAGCTTAAAAGTGGATACAAAATTTAATTTTTCACAATGTAGTGTACTTCGTTTTATAATTCAGAAAATCCTTTAGAACAGTATGTGGTTGTATGTACAAAGCTACACCAAACTACAACTTAGAATGAATGTGTCAGGTGATAAAGAGAACCTGCTATGATAAGACCATCCTGACAGAGAAATAGCAAAAAAAAAAAAAAACCCCAACAAGTATGTAAAACCAGGTTCTTGAAATCTGTGTTACTCTACAAAGTACTATGAAAATTTCACAATTACTTTCATTTCCACTCATGCATTGTCCTTCCATAACATATTCAAATTTATTTTATGTTTAACATAGCTGTATTACTTTTTCTGATGATTTTCTCTTTCTGTCAAAGCACAAAGCATACACGGTCATACACTGTAGTTCAACTCCTTAGGTTGCTTGGTTTGTTCTGTTCTGTTTTGTTTTTTGGTTAATTCAATGTATAATTAGTATGTTTTTATGGGGAAAAATTACTGAATAAATTTCCCCAAGCAGACTCTGATTGGATGATTAACACACAAAAATGCTTTGACATATTCTCACTTTTTAAAGTATGGTAATGACACTCATTTCCAAGTGCCATTTTAATTGCCATCTATTTCTCTGGTGCCAAGAAATCCCATCCGTTTATTTTTTTCTCAGTTCAAAACAATCACATCCATCTCTTGATCACAAGCTTTAAGTCAAACATCATTTTATAAATAACCGTGCCATTCCTCAGTTTTTGATACAGCTTCCAAACAGAAGTTTCAGAACAACTCAACTAGCAAACACATCACTGTACTGTAAACAGAGTGATGTTTTCTAGCCTGTATTTCAGGAAGGTTAAAACACACAGACAGCCAAGGGTCATCACTGTAGACAACAGATTCTGAGTGAGTTTATTAACTCAAGTAGATTAGGCAACACCTGTTTTTAAACTAATTACAAATCAAACAAAGTGTCTATTTTTTTTTAATGACTCACACTAGCATGTTACCAACAGATATGTAAGGGAGAAAAAAAGGTGTGTGTTCCACCTGTGTTTACCTAAAATCTGCATCTTGTCACTTCATATTTTTAGGAGATGCTCCTTTCTAAGATAATCAAAATACTTTACAATAGGGAATTTTGACTGAATTTTCAAACTTTAATATCGTGTTATATAGGTCAACTGAGTACATGCATCTTTCTGCAGAAACAAAGAGATTCAGAGTAACAGGATTTCAAATTTCATAGTAGAAACAGCAAAAAATGTTTTGAGGATGTCATTTACCAGAACACAAATCAATATTAAATGCTTTATGCAGGAAGCACACTTTCAGAAAATGGGTCCTAAAGCTTTCTGGGATCCAACCCTAATTACTACAGCAGGCTTTTGCCGTTTGTCTCTCTCTTCAATTATTTATGGGGCAAAAGAGCCAAATGGCATTGCATTAGCTATATTAAATGCCATGTACTTGGTTTCTAACTTACTAATGGTTCATAAAAATTACTAAGGTGAATGTGTCTGTAGAAAAATGGCCTCTTTTTCTTCTACACCTGAGTGTATGTATTTATTATGCATATAGTTAAGTGTTGAATAGGCTGTTCTTTAGGCACCCTATGCTGCATAATTTAAACAAGTGCATTAAACATATACGCTATCTAAAAGGCAGTGCGTTGATTACACCTCAACATTTCTTTGAACAACTCACATTCACAATAGAGCTCACAAAAATAGGAACACTGCCCTCCAGTCTCTGAAAACAAATACGTTAGGACCACACAGAAATGAGTAACGGGTGTGCTTGCTGCTACCACCTTGCTGTTTTCTGTTCACCCCAAAGTAAAATGAGAATCGGAGGAGTGACAATGAGGCCCATGAGTGCTAGGAAATTTCTGGTCTCCATGCTGACAGGGTCGTTTTCGCATGGACAAATGCACAGCTATGTTGTAGGTACGTAACAGGGACCACACACACTGCAGGAAAGCAAAGCTTATCAAGGTTGGATGGGACATTCTTTGTACCAGGTCAGAAATGCCCTCTGCCAGGAGGCAGGACATGATTACAACCTCCCAAAGAAAGTTCAGACATTGCATCCATACTTGATTCTTTTGAGATCGAGAAGGGCATCTGGAACCCTGACAGGAGATGCTAATTGCTGGAGAAGGCTGATGACCCAATGTCAGGTTTCCTCTCAAAACTGTGGAAGAAGCTTCCAAAGCAGTAAAACTCTCACTCTTCACAGACCCAGTAATTTTTCTAAATGAGTTCAGAAGGCTGTCACATTCTTATGTGAAAATAAGACAGACCCACTAACAAACTACCTAGGGTCCCTAGAAAGCCAGCCATTTGTATGACTGCATGTCATCAGCTGTGTTACCTAAGAGTATGCCAAGGCCCCCTCTAAGAGAACACCATTGGAAATCGATCCGTGGTAAACACATGAGGTAGTATTTTCCCAAACACAAAGTCACTTCTTTCTCGGCACTGAAGTCTGCCCATTGTCCCTCCTTTGCAAAAGCTACAGGGAAGATTAAAAGGGACATCAATGAACGCTGAGTGAACTTTGGCCACTTTTCTACCCAAAACACCAGCGTAAAAGTAGAAATCAGTAACCAGGTGAAGTGCCACACCGCACAAAGATCAAGGCGAGAGGCGGGCGCGCAGGGCCGGAGGCGGGGAGGGAAGGTCGGGGCCCCCCACCCCCAAGCCCCAGTCCGCACGCGGGGGGCTGAGGGGCGGCCCCGGGGGGTGGGAGGCTCCGCGCCCGGCCGGGGGAGGCCGAGAGTCCCAGCCCGCCAGGCGGGGCCCAGGCGCAGGGGTCGCAGAGGCGCGCCGCCCGCGGGTCCGGCGGCCGAGCAGCCTCCACGCGGCGAGGGGCGCCGCCCGGCCCCGCGCCCCTCCGCGCTCCGCGGGCCAGGAAGGGGCCGGCGGCTCTTTCCTGTCTAGTACCCTCACCCCCCCCGCGGCTCTCGGTAACCCGACGCCCGCCCGCGGCCCGCGCGCCCGCGGCGCTGCCCAGGCCGGCGCTATAGTTAGCAGCCTCCCGCAAGTCCGCGGGGGCGCGGGGCCCGGCGCCCCTCCCCGGCCCCCCGCGCCCCCGCCCCTCCCCCGGCGCCCCTTCACCTTCGCCTGCAGATACTGCGGGTAGTAGTAGGTGGCGTACTGAGGGTACATCTGCTGTTTCCACACTTTGCCCATGAAGCTGGGAGGGAGCCCGCCGTGCAGGGTCGCGGGCACTTCGGGGTTTCCAAGTCTCGGCCGCTTCTGCCTCTCCCTTTCCGGCGGCGGCGGCGGCGGCCGCTGCTCCACCTCCCAGCCGGGACCAGACGCCCTCCTCCCCCGCCGGTTCCTCCGCCCAGGCCGAGAGACCGACGCCGCAGCGCGCGGCGGGCACCCCGAGCAGGACGCTCCCAAGGAGTTGCCTCCCCGAGCGGCCGAGCCCGGAGGCTGCCGAGGGCTGGCGCGCCGGCCGAGCGGGGCCGGGAGGGGATCAGCGCGAGAGGAACGTGCTGCTGCGGCGGCGGCGGCGGCTGCGCTCGGTGCCAGGCGGCATCTGGGGTGGGTGCGCCCGACGGGGAGAGGGGAGAGGGGCCGGCGCGCCGAGGCCGTGGGGGAGGGGCGGCGGGGCGGGGCTTGGGCGCCGCGGAGCCCGGGCCCCGCTGGAGGTGAGGGCCGACTTCCAACCACTCCTCGCCTCCCGGGCTCGCGGTGGGACGGGCAGAAAACCCTGAGAGCCGCTTTGTGTCGGGGGTGGAGGGTGGGGGCCGGCCGGGGGGACCCAGCCGAAGAACTGCAGAGTGGACACCTCGTTTTCTTTCTTGAGTTTTTATCTCCCTAAGGGGGAGGGGAGGGAAGGGGAAAGAGGAGGAAAGCTGATGAATCTCTCACTTCTCCCCGCCCAGCGATTTTTCCTTTTTTTTTTTCCACAAGGGAACGAAGATGATTTAGTGGCCAACCACCAAGCTGGAGTCGGGACACCTGGGTTCTGTTCCGCCCCCTCCCCCAGGCCACAACACTAATTTTCTAGGTGACCTTGGGAGGGATAGTATCCTTCGCTTTGGTTTTCCCAGATGTGAGGGGTGAAACCGTGCCCTCCGCACAAGGGGAGTCAAAAATATCCCCCTCCTGTTTCCTTCGCTCGCTCTCTTTCCGACACACACACACCTCACAACAAATAGACGGATCCTTCTAAGGGGGAGATGCCGCAGAGGCAGCACGTTATTATTAGAGGACACAATATAGACATCAGCTTTTCTCTGTCTCTTTCTAATGCTGCCAGACAGTCTGTCAACTCCCACTCAGGAGCAAGGAAACTCCCTGAGTTTGGAATATTTTAAGGCCATTTTGAAAGTCAGGCTGGCATATTGTTGCAGTGAGCTTCAGTGACATATAAAATCAATTTCTCTCTCTCTCTGCCTCTCTCCATCTCCTAATTGTCACAGCTCTAGACAGCCCCAGACAGCCGTGGTTCAGTTCACTACATAACTGGATATAATTTAATGGAGTTAATTGGTCCCTGAAGCTGCCTGTGGAAGACTTTTATATTCTAGCTCCAAAAGAAATGCCAAAATGTACAAGTAGGGTATGTAAGAAAGCACGCCCGAATTGGAGTTCTAGCACTTCTAATAAAATGTAATGAAAAATGTATTTGTTATTAAACAGACCTTGGTTACTTTGTTTCGTCCTTTTGGTTTTCCAAGATTCTGTTTTCTTAACAGCAGGAAGGTAAATAAAACTGAAAAGGAAGGCAAGATTTTGTTAAACAGTTACATTTTTATACGATTGCACTTCAAAACAGGTTTAGTAAGATACTTTAAAACAATGAAACTGAATTGAAACCTATATAGTCTTTTATATGACTGAGACAAATTTCTAGGTTATGTATTTTTGACAAAAGAAATTAAATATAAGTTCATATGGGAACATCCTGGATATGCCAGGAGGCAAATCATGTTCTCAAAAAAAAAATTAGCAGTTATCCTATGTAAAATGCTGTGCGGAAACTCGTATTTACTGAGCTTCTGCCGTATTGTGTGCACTGAGATTAATGTCAATCTGAAGGTCAGAGTGGCTCACTGTCTAGCCAGGGTTGCTTTAAAAAGTTCCTTATGTTGTTTCAATATGGGACCCATTAATGTTTTTGAGCAGAGAACTGACATGAACTAACTTGGGTTTTAGGAATCTAGGAGGACAAGAAATGATGGTTTGCAGAAGTGAAGGACAGAAGGAAAGGAGTAAATGAAGAATAATCTCAGAAGTTCTAGGCTTGAGGTGATGAGGGAAATTACCAAATTTAGACTGTTCTACTTTTTTCTGGATGGTAGCAATTCATCCTGTTTTAGAGAGCCCAGAAGCACACGCACAATTATGTGGACATTGATTTATCACTGAATTGGTATTGCAGAGCGATGGAGAAAGAATGAGTTTTTCAATAAATGGTTCTGGGTCAATTGGTTATCCATATGGAAAAAAATGAAATTGGAGTCCTGCCTCACAAAAAGGAAAGAAAAGATTTCAAGTGAATTAAAGAACTCGATGTTAAAAAACAAAACAATAAAGCTTTGAGAAGACAATATAGGGAAATATTTTTATAGCATTGAGGTAGGGAAAGATTCCTTTAATAAAGTGACCAAGAATGCAACATTGATCAATTTGACTTTGTTAAAATTCAGAACACTGGTTCATCGAAGCATTCTATAAAGAAAGTGAAAAGGCAAGTCACAAAATAGTTATTTGTAATCTGTACAACTAGAAAAGGTTAATATATAAGACATATAAAGAAGTTATTGGAATCAGTAAGAAAAAGAGAAACAACTTGTTAGAATATGAACATGTGTGCACAAGTGTTCCTATAATGAAAAGATGCTCATGCTCATTAGTAATAAAGGGAATCCAAATTAAAATAAGATACCATTTCATACTCACCAGATTGGAAAAAAATTAGAACTCTGAAAATACTGAGTAGATGAAGATGTGGAAGAGGGAAAATCTCAAAAATGCTGCTTACCAAAAGAAATGTGAATTGGTACACCCACCACTTTAGAAAACAGTGTGCCATTACCCAAATTCACTTGCATGTATGCTGCGACACACTAATTCCACTTGTAGGTATATGCCCCAAAGAAATTCTTCTGTATGTGCAACAGAAATGTTAATAATATGCTGACAATAACTCAACTGCTATCAATTGTTGAATAGATTAAGGAGGCTGTGGTATATGCATACAGCAGAACACTTTGCAGCAGTGAAAATGAATAAACTGCAGTTAAAAGCATCAACATGAATCATTTCAAACTGATATTGAAGAAGCAAGTCAACCTAAAGCATGATTTCTCTGGCATGGAGTTTGAAAACAAAAAATAACACAACAGTATGTTGTGTAAGAATGGTACATGAGCAGTTAAAAAAAACTGAAAAGAAAAATAAGGAGATTATAGCACAAAATTCACAATTGTGGTTATCTCTGAGGGAGAAGGATGAGATAGATGTTCAGGGGGGCACCAAAGGGGACTTGTAGATGGTAATGTTCCATTCTTTGCCCGGGTTTTGGATGCACAGGGATATATGTCAATATTTTTCTTTAAGTGGTCCATGGACTCTTTTATATGTTTGCTGTATTTTTTTACTAAAACATCTAAAAAAATAAAACTCAGCTTTTAGTTTTAATCATGAACATTTTTAAACAAATACAAAAGCAGAGAGAATAGAATAAAGACTCCTCTTTTCCTAACACCCAACTTGAACATTTATCAACATTTTGTCATTCTTGTTTCACACACGCACATGCACACACGCACTTTTATGTTTGTGGAGTATTGTAAACAAATCCCAAACATCATATCATCTCACCTGCAACTATTTTAATATCTAACTCTAACAAGTAAGAACTTTTTAAAACACAGTATTGTGACCACATTTAACAAAACTGACAATGATTTAAGATTAAGATCTTTATTTTTCTCTGATTATCTAAAATTTGCTTTTGTAGTTTGTTTAAATCAGGCTGATAACAATGTACACATACTAAATTTGACTGATAAATCACTTAAGTCTCTTTTAACATATAAAATTTCACGCCCACTCACTTTTTAAATTGATATTTATTTGTTAAAGAAATCAGGTCATTTGTCCTGTGAAATTTCCCACATGGCTGACTGTAATCTAATGGTGTCATTTAAAGTGGTTAGTTTAGAGGTTTAATTACATGCAGATTCAAAAATTTCATGGTTTTAATAGTCATTCATGAGTGTTACCTCCATCCATTGTTTCATTAAGGGTTACAATGTTGTGAGTTTTTCTAATTTTATCATTCCTAATGCTCTTATTAGTTAGAATATTTTCTATGGAGAACTTCTTCTTTTCAACTCTTTGGTTAACTTGAAATACAATTAGCACAGGAATAGCAGGTTAAATTTGCCCTGATTTATCAATATTCGGAATAATGAGTTGATGCTATTGAAAATTTCAAAGCTAACCAGTTTTAAATAACATTCTGAACTTGTGGATTTTTATATACTTGATTTTTTTTTAATCCATCAGTCATTATTCTTGTTGGTGCTCAAACTGTCCCATCTTCCACTGTGGGAGAGCCTTCGATTAGCTCCTGTGTCTTTTGTTTATTTGTGTTTTTTTTTCCCCAGACCCTAATGGTCTTTGAGAGATTTTTTGCTTTCTAGCATGATAAAATTTTCTCAGGTTCTTTTACAGTTTGTGCCCAAACCTGAATCAGCTATTTCTCTAAGAGATCCATGTCAGCTTGCTCTTAAAGCAATTTTCAAAATAATAGCAAGTGTTTTAGAATGTATTCTTCACATTTATCAGATTTGGGGGAAGGAGCTCATGAAATATTTTTAATGAAATTTGGCCAAGATGACCCCTAGGAAAACATGAGCCATTCAGAGCTTTTCCCCAAGAGAAGTTATATATTTACACCTTCACCAACATTTCAGAAGCATCCTCTCACTGGGATACACTGGGGAGGCAGTTGACTTAGTGTCCACCTGCATGGAAGTTATGATCTGGTTGAGACAGAATAAAACAGTGGTAAGTTGTGATAAACTATGAGGAAAGAAACAGGTTAATGGGAGGAGAGTAACTTTGTGGGAGTTGGGTTAGGAATTTTAAGTAGTCAGGGAAAACTCTGAGGAGACATGATGAATGAGAATGGGTCAGCCTTAAGAATCTGTATGAGGTGAAAGTGGGGGGATGTGTGTCCCTGCAGAAGCAGCAGCAAGTTCAAAACTTTGAGGTACAAATTTTCCTATCCAAGATCTCCAATCTGGTTTCCCTTATAACCAAAGGTAAAGTCTATTTCATTAGAGTTAATCAGAAGTTGATCAAACAAATGAGTATTTTACTAATTAATTGACAATTGATAACGAATATTGTATTAATTTATTAATTAATGCCTTTGTTCTAATACCACTTGCCTAAAATATTGAAATAATTGAAGGATAAGATTAGAAGTTTTGCTACAAAACCCCTGTACTAGAGCATCAGAGAATTTAAAATGGAATTGAGGCCCGTTAGGAAGACTTCAAGCAGAGTTGGAGAATTACTGATTGATCAGTACTCTTGCTCCCACACTAGGGGACTAGGTAATGTCTATAACACGTTTACTAAATGCATAAAACAGAAAGGTCTCAGAGTTTTTTGCAAGGTGGAAGTGTGACTGACATACGTGTTAGAGTTCTTAGAGTGTTAAGCA